CTTGTCCTCCACAGCTTGTGGTGAGCACTGCAGAGAGCTCGGTGACAGGGCAGGAACCACCTACACACTGCGTGCACCTTTGGTCTTGGGCTCAGTTCCCTTCTGTGTCCTGCTCAAAATAGAACATCTTACATTTTTAAGGAACAAAAGAAGACAGGGCCCCTGCTTATAGTTATTCCTCCTCCTCAGTCTGGTAATTGTCTGGATTCGTCAGGTCGGTTACATCAGATTCACTTCTTCAGGACAGAAACGAGGTGTTTCTTCCTGCTACCGTGGGTAATAGGTAATGAGCTTACAACTTAAATGCCACTTAATGTGAATACACACTTGCGGTACACAGATAACAACCTTAAACTAATCACCTTGGTCTCTTGTATGTCAAGGAAAAGAAATTTCATAGGTTTGAATCTTAAGTCAGTGTGCTCTAGGAAGCTGGTGGTCTTGTTGAAGAATATGGGTCTTGGACAAGGTTGAAGATGCCCCAAACCATCTTCAACAGACATGGGGGAACAGGGGGAATGAAAAAAAAGCTATTTTGAAGGTTAAATTCTTAATAATTCTACCTTGAAGTAAGCTAACTATTTTATTTTTTTTTTAAGTGGGTAACACTTTGGCCTTCAACTATACCTTATCGTTATCTGGGAATATTTGGTACCTTCCTCAGTTATTTAGTGGAACACCACCACAAATGGGTGTGCTATGGGTAAGTGATATTCAGCTGTATAATTATTTTGCATCTCTCATGTTGCCTTTTTCTGACTCTTCTGCTTAATCTGTATTAACAAGCTTTCCTGTAACCCAGATGTTAATCACATTTAAAGAGCTCTTCTTTCAAGCTCATTACAGCTAAGGGTGTGTGGTAATAAGTATGTGGAAGACTAGACAGGCTAAGATCATTATGAAAGTTTAAAATTCAATTTAGAATTTTTGCATCTGTTACAGTGCAAAATTAAGATACTACTTTTGGAGACAGTAGTCCATATGTAAACTTACATTTGTAACATTGCTTTCTTCAAATTGTTGCTTGATTAGTCTAATTCTCTCTTAAGAGCCTTTTTTCCACCCCATCTTCTGTTAAAGAAGATTTTCTGCCCTGCTACTAACTTACCTTTGTCCTGTCCACATGAGGAGTAACTTGCTGAAGAAAATGCCTAGTGCTAAGCTTTGGTTGGTTACAGAACTTAGTTTTTGTTATTTTAATTAACAAAAGAGCTGAAAAACATTTCCCTGTAACCAGATCTCTCACTTGCTGGCTTTCTGTAAAGACAGGAAGACAGCAAGATTTTGTTTATTTTACTATGCATCATGCAGAAAATAAGCTGTCATATTTGCTTACAGCATCTTTTGCTTCAGCAAGATTGAATTGATCCTAACAGAAGATCCCATGTAACATCATTTTTCAAAAAGCTTCTATATGAAAATTGGTAGACCCAAGTTTGACTAATTGAGTCATATTATGTATTCTGGTTCTGTACACAAAGTTGTTTTCATAGAGCTAAAACTGTAAAAACTTCAGTAACTCATTAGGGTCACTAAAAATACTTGTGTAAGTAAAGGATAGATTTTTACATGCTTAACTAGGATTAACTTGTACTGCTTTCAGTAAGCATTTTGCTTTTTGGTTTAATCTAAGTGCTCAAAGTTTTGAAATGTGCACTGGGTACTTGAAGTGGCAGGTCCAGGCATCTTGCCTGAGTTACAGTTCCTCTCACTTTCTCTGTGGACTTTGGTTTCTTTTGAGAGTAGGCAAGATTGGGTTTTTTTTCAAAGACAAGAAACACACCTCAATTCCACTTTGAAGGTTAAAGTGAGATGTCACTTTTGTGCTTCCAGTTTTATATTCTCTGCATAATGCATCTTGGATACAACAGTCTTCTCCCTAATTTTAAACAAACCATGTTTTCTTTTTATTAGGTTCTGGGTATCCTGGTTGATTCACTTAGTAGAAGCCTTCTACGGTGTTAAGTTATGCCAGTAAGTTACTCCTTCCCCTCACCACAAAACAGATTATCTGAAAAAGATTTCTGATACAAGATAGAGAAGCTACAGACTGATTTTGGTGGTTGACAGCAGCAATATTATTAGTTGAGAGGATACAGATAAAATTCTTGCTGCAGTGACAGTTTGCTGTTCTCCCCAAGAGGTTATTGCAGATTCTGCTGGCAGCTGCTGTTGTACAGGGTGGCAAAGGCAAGGGAAGGCAACTGGCAGAACTGGCAGCAGCAAGGTTGGCTAGATCTTGTCTGCCTGCCTTAGAACTTGGTGTTCACTGGGTAACACTATGCTTTAGGAAGCAGAGGGAACAATAGGTGGTGTAGAAATAGTCTGGTTACTTCATAAGAATTCTGAGACTGCTAATTACCTGCTTAAGTTATTGCATCTATGTTGTGAGGATACAGTTGGACACTTCCATTTGGGACTATTTAAGATGTACTTATATCTTCAGGTTTATGGGATAAAACACTTTGACTAATCAAACTAAAAACAGTAAGGCCAACTAATTCTTACATTAGGATAACAAGTTATTCAGAGAGGTGTGCTGTCCAAACACAGTCCTTCTGTTAATTTGAATTTTGTTTGTTACAGTTCAGAAAGAAGTAGATACTTGCTTTCATACTCTGTAGATGGCCAGTCTGTTTGCCTTTGTAAAGATGGTGCTTTTCCACTTCATTTAGTTCAGTTCCCAGATGTCTGTCACAGGTTTCTCAGGTAACACCTCTTGGAGGCAAAGGGATTTTGTTCCATGGAAAACTACTTGAGGTTGTTTGTGAGAATATGGATGAACATTTTCTGCCTTCAGAATGGGAGTTAGTTTTGGGTTTTTTTTTTTAACCTGGCTGCAGTTTTAAATTATGTAGCTTTAAAGTTAAAACTTTTAACTCCGATGCTTTACGCAGATAGGTATATAGGATTAAGCATGAGGAAACCAAACAGATGTATTGTAGTCAAGTTAAGTAATGAAGTTTTACAGAGTAGTGTGGAAGCCTGCAAGAGAGATGGCGTTGATGTCCTGCCCATCAGCATCTCTTCAGGCATTCTTCTGTAGTTACACTTTACTATGAGCATCAAACACCATATAATTTTTACTGATTAAAGTAATGTCTACTTGTGAACACCTCAAGGGAGGCATGAGGAAGAACTAGAGAGGAAGCAGATAGAAATGTGCTAATCAGCAGTAGTACTATCATTGGCTGCTGGCCTGTATTTCTGCATATGGTGTATTCAAGTAAGCTTGCTTTATAGAGGCAGCTAAGCCTTAGTTTCCCAGTTTCTGCACTTATTTGGAAACACTGCAGCTGGGATTATAAAATAAAAATTAAAAAAAAA